AAGGAGGAGGGGAGAGAGGATTACAAGGGAGTGTTTTTTGTAGGAGGAGGTGAGTGGTGAGGACTACAAGGGAGGGGGTTTGTGGAGAGGAGGAGGAGGGGAGAGAAGGAGGAGGAGGGTGGAGAGGACTACAAGGGAAGTGGGGTTTGCATAGAGGTAAAGGAGGATTGTGGGGGTCTTTGGTGCTCCTTGAGCTTGGTTGTTTTCTTGCAGACGTTTCATGACCCAACTAAGAAACGTCATCAGTGTTACGAAGCAGTGGAGTTTGTTCTTATTTTTTCATTTTTTTAAAAAAATGAACCAACTCCACTCCCTCTTAGACCTGGTGACATTCCCTAGTTGGGTCATGAAACGTCTATGGGGGGAAAAAAACCCACCAAGCCCAGCCACAGTGACCGATGTTCTCTCCTTTTGATACCCCTTCAACGGCCTTTTCTCTCTTTCCTGAGGAAAGAATCCCCCCGGATCGCGCAATGGAGTCCCGCCCCCAGGCCCCTCTTCTCCCTGAGCAGACTTTTGACCGGGAAGTCAAGCAAAACATGGCCGAGCTTTCGCTCTGGACCGTCGTGGCCGCCATCCAAGCGGTCGAGAGGAAAGTCGATGCGCACGCCAGCCGGCTGCTCAACCTGGAGCGCCGCGTGATGACCAACGAGAAGAAATACGTGGACTGCGAGAACGCCGTGGTGGACTTCGGCAACCAGATGGAGTGCAAGCTATCAGCCCTGGGCACCCTCATCCAGGAATATGGGCTGCTCCAGAGGAGGCTGGAGAACATGGAGAACCTCTTGAAGAACCAGAACTTCTGGATCCTCAGGCTTCCCCCGGGATCCAAGGGGGAGACGCCAAAGGTGGGAGGATTGGGAGGGGAATTGCTCGGTTTTCCTGGCAGGGGAGAGTTTGCAATGATGGGAGAACTTCTTAATTTGGAGGGGGGTTAGAGGAGTTGAAAAGGGACGTGGCCGGCCAGTGGCTAAGACTCTGAGCTTGTCGATCAGAAAGTTCGGCATTTTGGTGGTTCGAATCCCCAGCACCATGCAACAGTAAGCTTCCATTCCTTGTCCCAGCTTCTACCAACCTAAGAGTTCAAAAGCGCATAAAAAAATGCAAGTAGGAAAATAGGGGCCTCTTTGGTGGGAGGATAACGGCGTTCCTCCGTGCGCCTTCGGCATTTAGTCCTGCCGGCCACATGACCACAGAGACGTCTTTGGACAGCATGGGCTCTTCTTCGGCCTTGTAACGGAGATGAGCACCGCCCCCTAGAGCTGGAAATGACTAGCACGGATGTGCGAGGTGAACCTTTACCTTTTTAAAGGAATTGAGATTGGGAGGGGGAGGTCCTTGGTGCTCCCTGAGCTTGGTGGTTTTCTTGCCGATGTCTCATGACCCAACTAGTTGACATCATCAGTGAAGTGAGTGTGAGGGTTACTCCCATTTGATATTTAGTACTTGCCTTGCCAGAGGTTATTTAAATCTGACTTGGAAGCCAGTTTTTTTAAAGATACCCAACTGCCTCCAGCAGAATTTAACAAAGCCTTAATCGTGGGCGTCCATTTGGACCCCAAAACAAAATGGCCTCTTTCCGTTTTCAGATTTCTGTGACAAAGCAAGCCCAGCCCCCCTCCTCCACATCGGCCTGGGCTGCTGTATATATAGGTCATGCTAAGCTAGGCTTCTTTTAAGCCTAGATTGTTGGAATAAGGTGGCCTAGAGGTGGAGCTCTCACCTCACAATCAGGAGTTTGATCCTAGGTAGAGGCAGATATTTCTCTCTCTGGGTACAATGAGAATAATATTTGCTGAACAAAACTCTGCACTGGTGACAGGAAGGGCATCCGGCCAGTAAACACTCTGTGAGCTCCATTCAGTTGCCCAGATTCCCCCCCCCCCCGCAAGGAATTATGGGGTCGTTAAAAGAAGATGATTGCTGGAATAAGCCACAGCTGGCTGGCTTAAACCCAAAATGCCAAGGTGTCAACCGAGAGTATCCGTTTTAATAGGCCAAACTTGCCCATTGTGTGACTCCCAAACTCCAAACACGTGTTAAGCTTTTTACACGTGACATGTCCCAGCAGCCATGTTCTAACTGGCGTTTCCAGTTGTGGAGCTTTTAAGGGTCATTCGAAAGGGCACAGAGGGGAGCAAAACGGCAGCCCCTCTGCTTACGGTGGCTTTTGTCCAATCCTGACAAGTTGTATTCAATCTGACAAGTTGTGTGTTTGAGATGTTGGCCGGTTTGGCGTTCAGTCTCATCCCATCATTGATCTTGAGTTGAGGTCTGCTCCATCTGAAATATTCCAGGAGCTTGTGAAGGTCACTGCTTAAGTAGACTTAGTGGCACCTGAGTATCTGAGGAACTTTTGCCTTCAAGGGATTGAGATTCCTCCATCTGATGAGACGTTCTCCTAAGTCTAGGTATCAGCAACCTGTGGCTCTAGAGCTGTATGCGGCTCTTTGGGCCCTCTACTCTGGCTCCCTGTTAGGTGATCCCACCACTGGCTGGTCCCGCCCCTCACCCTCCCCTCCCAGTCACTCCTCGCCTGGCCTGAGAAGGTAAAACACAAAAAAACAGAAATGAGAAGGAGGGAGGGAGGGAGGGAGGGAGGGAGAGACACACACATGCTGTCAACTGATAAAATACTTCTCTGGACTTTTTAGAGTTGCCAGCAGAAAGGGGGAAGCAGTGCGGCAGCTTGCAGATCGAAAGTGCATTCCATAAATGTTTTCAAAGATAGTAACTAGGCGACTGAAGTTTCTGCCGTGCAAAATGCAAACTGGAGAGCCTGATTGATGACTCTTGGCTATGGATGTGTCCCATTGGAGGATATTAATTATGATACACCCAGGGGGTGAGGGGAAAACCAGGGTCAAGGGGGACAATGAATTATGTGTCTCAGAGTTGGCTGCATCCAGGCAGTGCCAGACGTGTTAACTCCCAATAAATCCTTTGGAAGTTTTGCTCGAGACTCATGATTTAAATGAGATTAAGTGCCAGAATCCTGACACACACACATTTCCCACAGAAAACACCGGGAGCCACAAAACCTGGGTAGGCGTGGCAGATGGGGTCATGTGACTGGGTGAGATTGACATTGAGTCGGCCATGCCCCACCCAGGTTTTGTGGCTCCTGGTGTTTCCCGTGGGAAACAGGTCCAAATGGCTCTTTAAGGCTGAAGACCCCTGTTAGGTGTACTTCCTTTTAGTTGAGGTGGAGGAGATGGGCAACCTGTCCCTCCGCACAATGCCAATTTTTGGAGTCCGGGGTCATCCATCTGAGCACCAATAGCTCGTTCTAGAAGATCCAAACCCCATTAACCAATGTGCTTTCAGGTGCCCATGACTTTTGAGGACAACGCTGTCTACTTCTCAGAGCAGGAGTGGGGCAACCTGGAGGAATGGCAGAAGGAACTCTACAAGAACGTGATGAAGAGTAACTACGAGTCGCTGGTGTCCTTGGGTAAAAAACAAAATCAGCTTTTGCTCCTCGTGGGTTGTAAACATGAATCTTGGCTTCCTTGATTGAGGTATTGTCTAAATCAGAAATCTCCAACTTTGGCAAGTTTAAGACTTGCGGACTTCGGCTCATGGAATTCTAGGAGTTGAGGTCCGCAAGTAGCTAAGGTTGAAGAGCCCCCTGGTCCAGATGACGGCCTCCTTCCAGACTGGTCCCTAGAAGTCCCTCAGGAGAACATCTGGAGAACATTGCCGTGATTTCCAATCTGATGTGTCCAGTTCTGCTTTTAGTTTCATTTTGAAGCTCTATCCTGGGTTGTTACAGCTCTTCAACTCCCAAACTTGTTGAGAAAGTCATAATCAGGAGGACCTGTTGGGGAGGAAATGGAGCTTAATGTGAAGTTTGACAAACGAGAGGGTGGGATTGCCCATCAGAAATTATTTTAACATCTCGGCGTTTTTGCAATTGAATACAATTTGGAAATTGAATACAATTTGGAAATTGTAATTTTCGGCATCTCAGAGGAGGGATTTGTAAGACGATAGGAAGCAAGGGATGGGCTGATTCCTCCTTCTTGTGCCTGAACCACCTTCTCAGTTCCTATTGGATTTTCTTGTAGGGTTCGGTTTTTATTTTACAGCTAGTCCTCAAATTAACCACAGTTCATTGAGTGACCGTTCAAAGTTACAACATCCCTGAAAAAAAAAGGGACTTAGGAACCTGTTTCACACTTAACAATCATTGCAGGGTCTCCGTGATTGCGTGATCCAAATTTGGACCAATGGCCACATGATTCCCTTTTGTGACCAGAGAAAATGAAGTGCACTGTCACCATGTGCTTTACTGCTCAACTGTTTTTTATTGTTACGGGAAACAGGAAACTCAACTTAGATTTTTCATTCCGATCAAGCTTATCTTGCGAAGGATGTGGTTTTTTTTCCAACAGACTATGCCATCGCTAAACCAGATCTTCTGTCCCGGATCGAACAAGGAGAACGTCCCTGCGCTGAGGAAGAGGAGGCAGCAACAACAGACAGAGTGATACCTTCGGAACCCAGCCCAGGTAAGATGGAAGGGGCTAGAATCAGGGGTCTCCAAACCTTGCAGCTTAGTGGACTTCAACTCCCAGAATTCCTTGGCCAGCCTCTCGGCTCAACCCAGCAAACGGTGCAAAACAGGAGGCAGGATTGTTAAGTCTGGGTAGTCCTCAACGTACGACCGGTTGCATAGCAACTGCAGAATGATGGCAGACTTGGCAAAGTATGCGAACAACCCGGTTTTGATGGTCAGTCATACATAGAATTGTATGCACGATTGCATTTTTGGCACTCAGCACCTGACCTGCAGTCCTGGGACCAAAATTTACAAGGCTTTTGCCCCAAACGGGCATCTACAGGCAGTTCTTAACTTATAACCCTTCATTTAGTGACTGTTCAAAGTTACAACGGCACTGGAAAAAGGGACGCACGACAATTTTTCACCCAACCGTCATCGCATCCCCGCCATCAAGAGATCAAAATTGGCAACTGACTCAATTTTATGATGGTTGCACTGTCCCGGGTGTCACGCAATCCCCTTTTGCGACCAAGAATGGGGAAGCCAGATTCTCTCAACAACTGCACGACTAACTTAATCAGTGCTTTTGAGTCATTTAACAACCGTGGCAAGAACGTTCGTAAAATGGGGCCAAGCTCACTTCATGTGCTTAGCCACAGAGGTTTTGGCCTGAATTGTGGCCCTAAGTTGAGGACTACCCATAAAAGAATACCTGCAGTGAGTTTTACGATCAAACGGCCTTGTTGGCTTTGAAGGAATGCAGGGAAGAGCAGGACGAGGCAGCCCCGAGCCCCTCTGGCTTGGGATGGCTTGCCAGCAGGGAGGCACAGGGGCAGGACGACCAAGAGAGAGCAAGCAGTGAAAATGAGGCGCAGCGGAGTTCAAGCATTGGACAAGGATCGCCCCCTCGTGATTCCTGAGCATGGAGAGTGGAGAGGAGACAGGAACAGCGTAGGCAGGGATGGGAGGCTGCTAGTGTAAGAACTGGTTCAGTGATCGCAGGCTTTATGCCCGCACGCACAGGAATAGCTTTCTAAGGACACTTACCTGCTACCGGAGCAAACCGGTTGGCGGCCAGCTGATCGAAGGGAGGGGTTCGCCTGAATGGGTTCCAACGGCGAGAATCCCACCCCTGAGTGGAGGCCAACCCAACGACTCCGGAGGAGAGTGCCCCCCTCCCCCCTCTTCACAAGACACACCTGGGGGCTGAGATTTAAGGAGGTGCTGCAGGGCGGGGCATTTGTCAGGAACAAACATGGAATTTGTAGAGTTGTGTGTGCGCCATTGGTGACATCTAGCATTTGGAGAACTGCTTGCTTGCTTCCTTGCTTTGTGGTTTCATTTCTTTTTTCCTTTGCCTTGCTGCACTTCTTGTTTTGTACTAGCAGTGTTCGCTGGACTGCGTGTAGCCAGAGGCTGGTGTGTGTGTGTGTGAGAGAGAGAGCTTTGCTCTGGGATTTGCACAGTGGTGTGGTATAACAACATTTGGTGAGCGCGCGTGCTCAGGGCTTAAAAAAAAGCCAATTTTTAACTCTTAATACTTACCTTCTACTGCAGCCCCAGTGAGTAAAACAGCCGAGGCTCTGCCGCGTGAATCAGGTGTGCTAAACAACCAGGAAATAAAACACAACAAAGAATAAGGGGGGGTGGGCAGGGCTAAACGTTCACTAGAACTGCTCGCTCGTGCAAACCGGTCGAAACCCACCACGGGATTTGCACAACATGGGAGCGTTGGGGGGGCCGGGGAGTTTAAGCATGAAAGGGAAGTTTGACCTCTCAGCTGGCTGGGTGCCCTTCGTGCCTTGTCCCGGCTCACCGTCACAACCTCTCTGTTACGTCATCCAACACAGAAATCCTGGTTTTTCGACCCTGCCTCTCCTCCCCAGCAGAAGAAGGGGGTCACAGCCAAGAAGGGGAACAGGGAGAAGGACGGAGGGTCCCACAGGCATCCAGCGTCGGTAAGTGGCAGCTAACCGCGTTGGGAAAGTTGAGGTATTTTGCGGGGGCGGGGGGGGGTCTGCAGGCCCAAAAAAGGGGCTTTGTGCCAACAAGAATCTCGCCGAATGCCGAATAAAATCTTCCTTTCGGGTTTCCCTCGCTGATCAAGATTTTGCGATACATGGGAAAATTCTGGATGTGTGGGAGTGAAGGAAATGGTATAAGAAAGAAGGGATAATAAAATAATAAAAAGTCCCTTTTATAAGAAAGGGACGCAGTGGCTCAGAGGCTAAGACGCTGAGCTTGTCGATCGGAAAGGTCGGCAGTTTGGCTGTTCGAATCCCCAGTGCCACGTAACAGAGTGAGCTCCAGTTCCTTGTCCCAGCAGCTTCTGCCAACCTAGCAGTTCGAAAGCACATACAAAATGCAAGTAGAAAAATAGGGACCCCTTTGGTGGGAAGGGAACAGCGTTCCCTGCACCTTCGGCATTTAGTCCTGCCGGCCACATGACCACGGAGATGTCTTCGGACAGCGCTGGCTCCTCTTCGGCTTTGAAACAGAGATGAGCAGCGCCCCCTAGAGCTGGAAACGAAAGAAAACATGCTTTCCGTTTTAGAAAAACATTGAACACAAAATATATTACAATGCAGCTCGTCCTCGACTTACAACAGTTGGTTTAGAGACCGTTTGAAGTTACAGCAGCAGTAAAAAAAAGTGGCTTATGCTTGTTTTTCACTCTTAACGAACATTGCAGCACACCTCCGTGGTCCAGGCATCAAAATTCAGACGCTTGGCAACTGGTTCATATTGATGGCAGTCACAGTATGTCCCCATTTGCGACATTCTGACAATGGGGAAGCCAGATTCACTTAACGACTGTGTGACTAACTTAACAAATGCCGTTATTCGCTTTAACAGCCAGTGGCCAGAAAAGTCGTAAAAGGGGGCAAAACTCACTCAACCACTGTTTCACTTAGCAACATAATTTTTTGAGTTCAGTTGTAGTCGTAAGTTGAGGACTTACGGTAGTATGTAAGAGGTAGTATTCCTCTTACAACCATTCACTTTAATGTCTGTTCGAAGTTACAGCGGCATCCCAATTTTCACAATGTCAGAAAAACATGGAATACCAAATATATTGAAGTAGTTGAAGAAAGGCGGTTGAAGAAAGGCAGAGTCACAGCCGTTGGTTTAACGGCCGTTCAAAGTTACAAGGGGACTTGCGACCGTTTTCAGGCTTCCGACCACTGGAGCCTCCCCCCCCATGGTCACGTGATCAAAATTCATCTACCACAGCTGCCAGGGTCTCCCGGGGAAGCCCAATTTGCTTAACAGCTGTGGGACTAATGACATAAGACATAAGAATTT